CTATTGCAGCTGAGCCTCCCCCAACCCAGGTCTTTCTACATAGGTGTGACCAAGGTGTCCCCAGCACCCACTGGACTAGCTAGGGCTCTCCAACTCTGTGTTCAAGGTCAGCTCCAGCTCCACCGACTTCTTCAGCCATTGCCCTCCACAAGTTGCTGGATTTGCTACCAGTACAATCCTGTTCCCAGCCTCTGGGGCAACCAGTCTTAATCCCAGTCCTCATGGAGGGAGGTGGCAGGAGCTGAGGACAGGTGGGCCCATAGGAGTTTACCAGAGGGGTGGAGAAGAGCATCCAGGCAGAAGCAACAGTGTGGGTGAAGGCAAGGAGGTAAGACAGCAAATTCCAGGGAACCCAGAATGTGCCAGTCTAGTCTAACTTGGGCACTGAGTTCTGGGCAAGGCCCTGGCATGGAGAAGGGCTAATATGGAAGGACCAGGAGGAGCTGGATGAGGGGTTTTCATTACATATGTCTTCAGGAAAGAAACATACCAGCAACTAGAACTGGCCTTGGACTACAAGGGGTAAGAGTGGAGCAAGAGGTCAGGAGACATATGGGGCAAAGGCTGTAGGGTTGGCCCTGCTCCCATGGCCCTTAGATCCTCTGAGGATTTTCTATCATCAAAAGATTGGCAACAGGGCTGGCTGGTTAGCTCAGTTGGTTAGAGCACGGTGTGTGTAGGGTATGTAGTCCTGTACTGGCCAATTGCCAAAAAAAAAAAAAAAAGAGGATTGGCAAAAACCTCCGCACATGACAGATGGACTAGTATAAACTCTCTTAGCCACGTTGGAATATTGTTCAGCCATAAAAAGGTGTCTACAGAAGGTGTGTGTAGTGGATTGCATTATGTCCTCCCAAAACTCACTGAAGCTTGAATTGTGTCCCCTAAGTTTTATGTATTAGAAACTTAGCCCCCACTGTGACTGTTAAGAGTGTGGGAAATCCTATTATGGTAATTGAAGGGTGGAGCCTTGAAGAAGGAATTGGATTGTAGGACCGTGAAGTAGTGAATGGATTAAAAATGGTGGTCAGGGGTGTGGTTCTGAGGGCTTTAAAAGAAGAGGAGAGGGCTGGCCCGTGGCTCACTGGGTGAGCATGGTGCTGACAACACCACGTCAAGGGTTAAGATCCCCTTACCGGTCAAAAAAAAAAAAGAAGAGGAGAGTCTCTCTTGCTCTCTCTGCTCTCTCTGCTGCCACCATTTTGCAATGTGAGACTCCTGGGTAACTGTCGCCACCACCAGACTTTGGATTTCCCAGCCTCAGAAACTGTAAGCAAATAAATTTCGTTCTTCTTTGTAAATCACCCAGTCTCAGGTATTGTGTTATATCACACAAAAAGGACTAATACAGGATGTAATAGCATTCTATTTTCTTATACATTACTGGTGAAAGTGTAAATTGAAGCAATTCCTACAGAGGGCTATTTGACAACAGCTGGCAAAATTGCAAACGCTGGACTGGCTGGGTAGCTTCATTGGTTAGAGCATGGTGCTGATAACACCAAGGTCTAGGGCTTGATTCCTGTATCAGCCAGTCGCCAAGAAAAAAACAAATTGCAAATGCTCTGAGCCTTTGACCTAGCTATCCCACTCAGGGGAACACCTGAGATTGGGAAGGACCTAAATGACCTCAATAGTGGACTGTCAAATGAGTGACAGTACATCCATCTCATGGGATTACTATACAGCTAATGGAAGGGAACAAAGACAATATGCTGATTCACAACAATCTCTAAAACAGATTTGGGGGATAAAGCAAGGTGGAGAACAGCTATCTATGTTACCTTTGTGTAAAGGAAAAAAACGATTGTATAATACATACAATGTATGTGCTTGTATGTTATAGACTAATTCTAAAATAAACTGAAAGTCGGAAAACTCTGGGGAGTGTTAAGGGACAAAGTGGAGGGAGATCTTTCATCAGATACCTGTCTTTTGAATGCTACATCTTACGGATGTTTTTCCTTCAATGTCAAAGTCAATGTCAATGTCAATGTCAAATTTCCCCGAATTCCTCGGTACTATTCTTGGTGAGCTCAGGTGGGCTGCAAACCGCCATTCCTGCAGGGCTGGCACCGGGGCCTGGGTCCCTCTCCTGGCAGCCCTGTCCAGACCCCTCCTCCTCTTGGCCCCCGACCTGGAGGCAGTTACTGGGCAGACCACTCACTCCTTCCCTCCTGGACTTGGCTGTTGGGCGGCTCCGAGCACCCGCTCAGAGGGCTCCCCCTTGTCCATCCTCCCTTTCTTCCTCCTTCAGACTCCTTATGCTGAATAGCGGGTTCCACGGGGCCCTCCACCGGGGCCTCGCTCCCTGCTAGCACTGGCAGAGCTTCGAGCTCCTCGCCTCCCCTCCGGGGACCTTTCAAGGGCACAGGTTACTTAGGGTCAAAAGCCCAGGAAGCCTTGAAAGGGGAAATGCGATGGCCCTGGAGAGCGTCCGTCTCTCCGCCGCCCGCTCCCCACCCCACCTCGGCTGCGACAGTGGGGGGACCAGCTGTAGCTTGGTCTGGAGATGGGGCCCGGTGTGGGTCTAGAGGATGCAGAGCCGGGCACGGCCCGGACAGGTGGGCGCCGAGGTGGTAGCAGTCATGAGAACCGGCCGGCGAGGCGGTCGTCCAGGGTCCAAGTGATGCGGCCGCGCAGGGGCCGGCGCTGCAGCGGTGTCGCTGAGCACGCATGCCGGAACCAGGAGCGTGTCGAGCCCGGCCGCCTACTCAGCGGCCCGACCCCGCCTGTGGGCTGCGCTGCCGCCAGCGACCGGGACTGTCCACCCGTTGGGTCTCCCCCCGGAGGCGGGCAGGAAGGGCGCCCAGAAGTGGAGTCTGACCCCGCGCGGGGCTGGGATCCGGCCGCCCTGGCCACCGGCCGGAGTCCCGGCGATCCCCGGCCTCCCTCTTACATCACCGGACAGAAGATGGACCACAGCCCTTTGTCCGAGGGCGTCCAGGAGCTAGAGCCGCAGAATGAAGGGGTTATTGGAAAGTGGTTCTTAAACTTCGCAGCATAGTAACACTCCCCCCCCCCCCCCCCCCCCC